GTTAGTATTTGTCTTCACCCTAAACTATAAGTAATTGCTAAAAGTGGTGCGGTAAGTGCTTAACTGGAATATCCTTATTAGGCTACTTTATTATCTTTTAGTTCCTTTAACATGTACCTCTTTCTAAATGAAGTGAATGGTGAACACCGTTCAGGAATCCTACCTCCAGTTTTAAAACAGCCCCAAGGATGTAGTTCCAGCCTGGAAGAGGATCTGTTCTGCTCGCTTAGTGGTTCTAGTTCTAAGGTTTGTTTTAGTTTAGAATCCCTTTCTAATTCTCAACCCTTAGCAAGACCATGTTGCCTGTCAGAGAAGATTTGAGTTAAGCAATCCAGTGCTCTTACTTCAGAACAGACTGTGATCTTTGCTCCCTAAAGCTGTCCCATTTTATCACTGAAATTTATCACTGCGGCCCTGCTCCTTAACCCAAGGATTAAGTTTGAAAGGTATCTCTTTCTTTATAGGAAGAAATTATTCACAGTTAAGTCCAGTTAGCCTCTAAATCCAGATGTTAATCCATTTTAGTTATTTTGCTTTCTCTACTAACTCCTTCTCCGCCATTGGCTGATAAGGCACTGGCGTGATAAATCTGACTTACCTCCACACACGCAAAGGCCACTCAGAAGCAACACTTCTCTTCCTTTTTTTCCCCTGACAACTCTTTCCTTACTGTTTTCTAATCTCCAGCACAAACTAAGTGAATACATTTGTAGTTAAGGTAATTATTGCTTATAACTTGGAGGATATTAACTGATTTACTGCTTACAGAACAACTGTTTTTGAGTCCCATGTAGTGTAGGTATTGTTATTACCAATGGAGGCCAAAAGATCTTATTTTAAACATTAGAAATAGATGTGTTTATTGCACTTCAGCCAACAACAAGCCAGGAGTAGCAACATATATAAATATGACAGGCCATATCTGAAATTTGGCTTTCTCCTCTCAGGGTTGTCTGGGAGTTTAGAGAAAGCCTAATGAACTAACTTAAAGAGGGAAAAAACACAGCATTAAAAACTCATTAGCTATAAATTACCAGCATTAAGCCAGAAGTCATTACCAGTTAAAGTGGTGGTTTTCATTATATTCTTAAGTAGGACAGGTGGACAGCAGTGTAAATAACATAGCTTTGAAGACTTGTTTAAAGCTTGTTCTGGCAAACATGGCCCAAATGAGAAATGGCTTCATCTTTCCAGGTAGAGCCAGATTTCAGGCATAGCTCAGCTACATTGGTATTTGAAATACAAATAAGTTTTTTTTTTTGGCTGTGTGTCCTCTTTTACCAAACACTACTGAGTGGCTCCTGTTGCTTCAGTAATGATTTTTTTAAAGAAGTGATACCTTGGATTCTGTTCTGGAAGAAATGAACACTAGAGTTCAGCAAAAAAGTGCAATTTTCTATATGCTATGCTGAGCTCTATTAGAGCCCATGATTAGTATTTGATGCGAAAATTTTGCTGTGTGTGGGAACTTTTATTCTTCCCTTTTCCCCCCAGTTTGTTTTGATATAGCTTTCCGTTGAACACAGATGCATGCTTTTTTTGTTAACCTCTAGTCTTTGAAGTGATTGTAGAAGAGTTTTTTTTTTTTTTTAATGGAGGGCAAAATGCTTGTTAGCAACCTAAAAATCAAAGCAGAACAAGCTGCTTAAGTAAGTTTCTAAAGTTTAAAAATAAAAATTAATTGCTCCTGCTTTCCAGATGATTGTATTACTAATTCCTGTATAAAAGAAACATTACTGTTGTTCTTGTATAAATAAAATCAATTAAGTATTGATTTTTTAGAAACTGTCCATATAGCTCTTTTATTTTCACATATTTCCATATGCTGTCCAAAACGAAAATTACTGAAATGTTCAATCTGTGAGATTCAGTATTCCTGGTAAAATATTTTTGTATATATAAAGAAATAAATATTTACTATTGGAAAAATGTAGTGTTTCATTTATAGGTAGAACTAAAGTTTAGAGATAAAATAACAGAGGACATCAAATTAGCTTTGGTAACTTCTTTCAAGTGCTAACAGTCTTTTTGAAAAGCCCCGGTGTCATTCAGTTTTTGCCTGCCTCTATTCTTCAACAAGCAAGCCCTAACCAGTGTTTCCTCTATCCCCGCCCAGGTAAGAATTTCAGAATTAGAGAAGGGTAAAATAGGGGATTAAAAAACAAGGCCTCTGTGCTTAGACAGCCTGGTATGCTCTGACCACTCCCAGCTATCCAGGAAGAAGAGAAACCCCATTGGGAAAGACAGTGAATGTACCCACTGTGAGGCACAGCTCAAACTTCTGTCCAGAAAGGACCCTCTGCACCCTGGTCCTCAGCTGGTTTCCAAGGTTCCATACCTCACACTTAAGAAATTGCCAGCACAGTGTATTTCTGATTGTCTTTGGAAGAATTAGGAATTGTTCATCCTATCATTTTATACTTGCTTAGTTTTCTGTCATGACGATAAAACTATCCACAAATTTAGGAGCTTAAGAACACAAATTTATTATCTCAGTTTTGTAGGTCTGAAGTCTAAAGTTAAAATATCTGGAGGTCTGGGTAAGAATCTGTGTCCAGGCTCAGACAGATTGTTGACTAACTTCAGTTCTAGGCGGTTGCAGAACTGAGAACCTCATTTCCTTGCTGTCAGAAGGCTCATCTGGCATGGGCCCCTTCAATCTTCAGAATCAGCAACAGTGCATAAATTCTTTCTCCTGGCTTCATCATTCCCCTATTTTCTTGGGTCAGCTCTCTCTTTCACTAACTTTTCTACCCACTTTCCCTTAAGGGCTCTCCCTGATAATCCAGGATAATCTGCACATCTTAAGGTCCGTAACCTTAAAAACATCTGCTAAGCTTCTTTTCTCCATGTAAGGTAACATGTTCACAGGTGCCAGGGATTAGGTCTTAGACATCATTGAGGGGCCATTAATGGACCAACCCTACAAGCTAATGTCAGTGGTATTTCATGCATCCTTTTATGGAAGACAGGTGGTCCTCTTTCATGAATGGAAATATCAGAGTTACGGTGGCTGTCCTGTTTTTTAGGACATAATACTTTCCTGTTTTCCAAGGAACCTGAGCTACTAGGACTCGTTTCCAAATCTAATTATGGTTAAAAAAAGAAAAAAAGTATGTTTTTTTATTGTACCAAGTAAATAAGGATACTTTTTTTAAAAAGGGGAAACTGGATATAGTGTAAAGAAACCTTTAGAAACCCAGTTCCACCTCATGGCAAGCACACCCAGCACTCACCTCACCCACCATGTTGTTGCAGGTGTCTGCTGGGAAGCCCAGCAGTAACTGGAGCCTGGGAACTCCTGTAGCAGTCTCAAGCAGCCTCCTTTTTAATGGCCAATTCTTAAAACACAGTCCAGCATGTTCACTGGCTGGTTTTAGGGCAGTTGTGGAAATAGCCGAATTCCTTAATTGCTATCCCCAATTTTTGTCACTGCTGAGATGGCTCTTTTCCATTTGGAGACTAGTTTTAGTCTTTTTTAATTTAGAGAACAATATGTAAAAATTCTAACAGGAATAGAAGGGTGCTATAACCCTAGCACTCTGGGAGGCTGAGGTGGGAGGATTACTTGAGGCCAGAAGTTTGAGACCAGCCTGAGTAAGAGAGACTCCCATCTCTACCATAAAGAGGAAAATTAACCGGGTTATGTGGCAGATACCTGTAGTCCCAGCTTCTTGGGAGGCTGAGGCAGGAGGATCCCTTGAACACAGGAGTTTGAGGTTGCTGTGAGCTATGATGATACCACTGCACTCTAGCCAGGTGACAGAGTCTCCCAAAAAAGGGTGAAAAATCCCCCTCTGCCTCTTGTCCCACACTGAACTCTACAGTTTTTTGGCTGGGGCTGGGTTTGAACCCACCACCTCCAGCATGTGGGACCAGCGTCCTACTCCTTTGAGCCACAGACGCCACCCCCACACTGAACTCTTTAAATGAGGTTTTTTATACGTAGCAATATGTGTACACATCTTTTTTCATACAGATAGATTCATATTACACATTGTTTGCATTTTTCTTTATACTTATTTCAGAAAACCAGACAAGGCATCTACAGTGCTACTCTTTTAGCACTAGTGACTACTTTCAATTTAGCATGTTCCTTTCTAGTTAGTACATCAGATGGAGGTTCCCCACCCCCCACATAACCATTTCCATAAAATTCTCATTTTTAATAGTGGTGATAAGTTATTTGCTTTATTCTTATTAATGTTCATTAAAATCTGAAAGGAAGACGGAATTAGAAGGATGATGAGGTAAAAAGAGAACAGGTGCTTAGTGGCATGTTCCCTGTCAGTCATTACCACCCTTCATCCAGTGGAGTAACCAATCCTGTCCATGGGATTGGGGGGTGGGGAGAAGCACCAGGGAGACTGTCTAAGCTCTGTATAGTGGAAGGACATCAAAACAATAAAAAGAAAAAGATAGGTAGTTCATGGTCTCCTTGCTAGAATATGTAGCCGTCTACATGTGAAGTACCAGGATGCAGGAACTCAACACATCGTTGCAGATATTGAACGTTCATTACAGCGTGATGCAGTCAAAATGAATAAAGTTAGACCCCCCAAGCCAGACTATTTTTAGTATAATTTTGTTCAGCAGAATATATACAGAGGGTGCCAAAAAAAGTATGTACATTGTAAGAAAGAGAAAAGTTGTAATATGTTTGACTTCTGCAATTACAAGAGATACAAGATAATGTTTTCAGTGTATATAGTCAGCATTACATTTTTTTTTTTTTTTGAGACAGTTTCACTTTGTTTTCCTTGGTAGAGTGCCATGGCATTATAGCTCACAACAACTTCAAACTCTTGGGCTTAAGTGATCCTCTTGCTTCAGCCTCCCAAGTAGCAGGGACTGTAAATGGCCACCCAGCTATTTTTGTAGAGACAGGGTCTCACTCTTGCTCAGGTTGGTCTCGAACCCCTAAGCTCAGGCAATCCACCACCTTGGACAACCAGAGTGCTAGGAGAATATTACAATTTTATACAGGTTTTTTTTTCCTTTCTTAAAAATATGTGTACATTTGGCACCTTCTGTATACACACACTACTGGCATTTATAGTTCATTTCTGAGCAAATTAATATATAGCACTTCCAAAACATAGCCTCTTCTGTGAAGAGAAATTAATTGCTTTCCCACAGCATTCACAATTTAGGTGGGCCCTGCAGAAAAACAGGTCTGAACATCTAAGAATTCTCAGCCCTCAGCTGTTAGGTGCTGGAAGCTAACCTGGGTGTGGCTCACCAGCACAGGACAGCCTCTGGCCTGAAAGAAGCCCCTCACAGTGCAGAAAGTCACTGCTTTGTCAATTCATTTCAGTGGTCAGTTTGTAATTCGCATCTGACCCAAACTCCAAAGCAGTTTCCCCTCTGCCTAGAGCACAGAGTCCATTCAGGGTTATATAAAGAATCAGTGGGAAGACATCAGGGTCCTTCAGGATGACAGCTTTCACTGATGACTGGAGTCTCTCCAGGCTAATGCCAGCTGAGGCAAACAGGCGCTGCGCAATCCCAAACCTTTCCATATCTTTCAGTGGAGCCAAACTTGGGTCTTCAAGATCAGATACTCCATGGTGAGACAAAGCCTGAAGCTGAAATGACACATTTAAACAAATACACTTTAAAATGTTACAGAGAATCCACATTGTAAGACAGTAATGCACTTCTAGGTAATTCTAGAAAAAAAAAAAACTTGTCTTTTAAATTCCCCAAATGGAATAGGAAAACCCTTAACTTTTGACTGCGAATAAGGCAATGCCTGTAAGCATTGCTCATTTTACAAAGAAAAACTTGAAGACATGTTACTGTTCTATTACCTGACACAAGTCTGTAAGCATCATATGCTTTGTTCTCAATGTTTTTCACAGTTGTGCCTGAAATAACTGAAACCAACTTGGGTGAATTATTTTGATTAGTAAGAAACCAAAGACCGTCCACAGCGCACCCTGTATTGTAATGATCGTTGCAGTCACTGCATGTCTCAGTTGGCACTTTTTGTTTCTAAGCGCCATAGTCAAAGGGTTAAGCATATAGCAAGATATATTTGATTCAGGCCAGGACCTGGGGCCTGGTTTTATCCAATTTGCCTCTAGTTCTCTGAATTCCACTCTCTGAACCCTACTAGCTCGAGCTGTTAACTCCAGGAGATTCAAAAGATCAGAATGCACCTTTTTCATACAGAGTATGTCAGTTTATTTTAACAGCAATCTTAGAATTTCTTGTATGTTTATGTCAACCCCTAGTTCATGTAAATACATGAGCGGCACCACAGTTTGTTTAATATGCTTCCTGCCCTAAGAACTTTTGTCCTTACTATTCCTTCTATCTGGGATACCCTTCCTCCAGAGTTCACCATGGGTGTCCAACCTTTTTTTCCTGCCAAATATTGGAAGCAGAGTTGTCTTGGGCCACACTTTAAATATACAAACACCAATGAAAACTGATGACCAATAAAAAGGATCCATGTATACTTTTTGCAATATCCCTTGCCAAACATAAGCAACACAGTTCTGCAATAATCTGCACACAGTCCGTGGGCCACAGGTTGGATGCCCCTGAGTAGACTGTCCTTTCTCATTCAGATGTCAGTTGTTATGCCTTTCATAATCCCTTCCGCTACTCCACATCCCAGCCACTATTACATTATTATCTTGTCCCCACCAACTCACTATATCTGAAATACTTTTTGGCTGCTCACTGTTAACGCTGCTCAGGAGAGCTGTCGTGTTCACTGTTTACCCTGCCTTGAACACAGGTCCTCAGCATTTTGAAGGGACATTGGTTCTTTACACAGGTCACTTTGGATGCTGCTCTGACTGCTCAAAACTTTTGAAATACTTGGTTTGTTTAGGGCTTTGGTCTATGCCTACAGTACTTTTTAAAAAAATATCTTCAGCAATTACAAATTCCCAGTAGATTTAATTTTGAAACAAGCGTTCAAAATCAAATTAATAATGAATGCAAAGAGTAAAATTTAAATATAAAATGAAGTAAGCCTATAAAGTATATGTGAGTTTTAACTGAATCTGGAGTGAATCCAAAAGGATTCAGAAACGCTGGGAGCGCTGGTGACATTACTGAAAGTAACGCGTGGTTTGTGCAGTAACCACAGGCTTAATGTTACCATTTGGCCCCAACTGCGAACTATTGAGTGTGCTTGAGAGGGTGGATTAGGCCTGCTCTTTAAGCATAAGCACCACATCCCGGTGATTTAAGAGTGAGCTCTGCTGGTGCAGGCTGGAGATGGCAACAGCACAGCAGGCTCCACATCCGCACAGCCTGGTGGACAGGGCTGAGCAGTATCCAGCTTCTTTCTGTAAACATCTGCCAACTCCTATCCCACAGGCACTTCTAATAAGTATAAAGTTAAAAGGGCTAACAGCAACCCGAAGGATTGTGAAGTTAGCATTCTCTATTGATCATGCTCCCCCTTTTGCCAGTTCTAGGCAAATGTGTTAGCATCTCTGACACTGTTCTCCCAAAAAACCTTCAGAAGGCCCCTCTCAAAGTTACTCTGGCCACCAGACAAGACAGAGCACGACACAAAATCTGTTACCCTGAGTAAATCCCTTTAAGAAACACAAGATGGGGCAGTGCCAGTGGCTCGAAGGAATAGGGCCCTGGCCCTATATACCAAAGGTGGAAGGTTCAAACCTGGCCCCGGCCAAAAAAAGAAAGAAAAAGAAACACAAGATGCTCACATCCCTTCAGGAGGCAGGAAGCCTTGAGGTCTTAAAAAGAGCTGTTGCAAATCTAACGGGAGGTTAAATGAAGACAACCAGGAAGGTCTTTTAAAGAAAAAGGAGTTCTTTGACTATGTGGAGCACCTGCCAAAAGGCAGACAAATGACCGTGGGTGGGGTGCTGTGCCGAAGCAGACTACCATCCTTCCTGGAACTCGCGGTGTTCTAGTGGCTGCTCTAGAATACCAACAGAGCAGAACTTGGGGGCAACACAAAGACCTGGTCCCACAGCTCATCTGCAAGGAAGATGACAACTTCCAGTCTGCGAGGGGAGGATTTTTTCTTTTATCTGCTTCCTGAGTGCAGTCGATGAGTCCATAAATACTGGAAGGGCTAACTTGGTAAATGCTGAGCACTCGACTGCTGCAAAAGAAGCTGGGCTCTGAAAGCAGAGCTGTTGTCTGCTCATCTCTGCATGCAATTAGAATCATGATATGTATTGTCCCCATAACCAAACTGTGCCACGGAGCTTTACCCCCAGCTGGCCCAGGGCTCATACGCTGGCACATGTTCAAGTAGTTCAGTTTTTGCAGTCAATGTACAAGAACACAAGTTCCTCTGGGCCTGTAGAATCTGCTTTCAGTTGTGAATTACATGTAAGCTGCTCCTTGGAAGGATGCCCTGCTGTGTAGTCTTCTGACGTCTGCTACACAAAGACAAAGGAGCTAACCACTTAGCGTTCACGGAGTAGATGTGTAACAGATGTCAGAGTCCTGTCTAGGCAGTCCACCCCAACACCCACTCCCCACACTTGAGAGCAGAGCTCTGAGATACCATCCTTTGAGCTAACACGGCAGGCCGGCCTTGGCCCTTAGTAATCAGATCTGAATAAGAGCACTGATGCTGTGCTCCTCTGCCCCAGGCTGACCAACATCTACAAAAGCTACATTAGAGAAGCAGCACCGGCTGGGTGGCTTCAGGGCAGCCCCATTGGTGGTTCCTTCTGCTAATGGCCCAATTTGTAATTTAAAAAGGAAAAGCTTAACATTGACTCTCTGGGAGTCAGCTCATGCTCCTCTCATAAGGACATTTCCTGAGGGCACCAGGCTAATAATATTCCTAAAAGACATGAAAGAAGCTATGTCTCCATGAGACAAATCAGTCCTGAATACCCTTCTGGTGAATCTGATGCATAGCTGAATCAAACCAGTCTCAACAGAATTGCCATTGCCAGTAATATGGTGTCAGGCCCTTTTTTTGCAATGTAGCAGCAAGCCTAAATTCTCTGGACTAAATTCTCTCCAAACAATGAGAAAATCATAAGATTTGGAGTGTAAAGACAAGGTTGGAGTCATGGCCCTGCTAACAAGTTCTCTGAACAAAGCCATTCCCTCTGGACCTCAGTCTTCCCCTGGGTGCGGTATGTACAGTGTATACAGGAGGGTTGGTAGCACCTGTGTACCTCTCTTGAAACTACTGTGGATGAGAGAGCCTAGAGGTGTCTTACCAGCTGTTGGGTGTCTATCCCTCATCATTTCCCATTCCAACCCTTCCCAAGCTCCCATCTGGGAGGTTCCTTACCAAGTAGCACAGTGTAGGAATAATCTGAAGTTTACAGCAAGTGCCCAGCAGAGCCACTGTGTTATCTGGCATTTCTGTAGGAGACAAAAATCACAGTCACTGTTCAAGATAAATAAAAGCCCATGGGAGCAGAGCCAGGCCCGGGATGGTATCTAATTTATATTTTAGCACCTTCCCACCAGCCAGGCAGAGGAGGTGCTCAGCAGTTGTCGAATAAGTAAATGAATGGTGCTAAGTAAGCGGCAAAGACCTTTTTGAAAACAGACACAGGAACCTGGTCACCAGCTCTGTGTTTCACCAGGGAATAGTCCTTGACATTCAATTTACTGGTCAGGAAGAACTGCACAGACTCTGGGGAAGGGAATTGGCATGGAAAAGTAGAAAGGCCCAGGAATGTGACTGAAGAGCTGCATCTAAGCCCTTCCCACACTTGGGCTGTGACTTCGGGTAGAGCTCTCTGAGCCTCAGTTTCCTCCTTTTACCATATTTTTACTTTTGCATTTGCTAGATCACTGTGTAAACTATAAGAACCTCTACCTGTGTCACCAATTTGGGAGGAAAAATGCAATGTGGCCTGATCCAGAGTGGCACCACAGAACTCCAGAGGCCAGGAGCACCGACGGCAGAAGGGTAGGGCACAGCCATGCCAGGCTGGGACTGCCCCAGAAAGGCCTCGCCAAACTCCAGGGATGGGAAATCTGGGTCAGTGTTACTCAAAATGGATATTAAGCTCTTCTCAGGATAAAACAGATACAGTCCCTAAAAGGACCCCAGTCCCCAATGGATGCAACCTCTGAGCTGTAAAGAAAAAAAAAAGAGTCACCTGCTGAATCATCTAGCCAAGGGATTGTGAACTGAGTTGATGGCCTCCATGTATCAGCAGCCATATTTGTTAATATAAGGGCAGCATGCTGCTACAGCAGTGACCCAGAGTGCAAAAGGACATGGCTGGGTCCCAAGAAAGGGTAAAGGTGGCCAGGGGTGGGGCAGCCCCACAGACATGATCCTGCTGGAGAACTCTCAGCATTGCATTCAAATGCTGTGCATGCATTTGCCTGCAGAAAAGGTCCGTAGCTTTCAACAAATTCTCCAGTTGACCCTAACCCCAAACCCAGAAGGAAGACAGAAACCACATCTGACCTGTGTACCCGGGCTGAGCCACTGGCACATGCCACCTCCCCACCCTTGCTGCCCTTCCCTCACTTTAGGGGGCAGCTCCTGAGCCCCATGGAACCAACATCCTCATTCCTCACTCTTTGCACTATCCTAGTTCCATGTTGCTCATTTAGCAGCTCACTTCTAGGGGCACAGGACTGAAAGAACAGCACCACCATTTCAGAGCTTCCTGGCTCATTTTACTACTGATTTCCTAGGGGGCCAGGTCTTAATACTTTCTCCTACCTCAGCACCCAGCAGTGCCGAGAATAGTATAAGCTTGTTAAATGTTTCTTGAACTGAAATGGATTGTTCTTATTGCTCTTCCACATACCAATTCCATCTTACAAATGGGATCCAAGGTGTTCAGAGCTTTGGACTTGCATAAGGTTACAAAGTGGTGGAAGAAGCTGTCCAGGAGACAGGTCAGACGTGGTGCTGAAAACAGCTAAAAGCACCATAAAGCCAAAAACTGGCTTGAGGTCCTAAGAAGAGTCCATATTCTATTCTGGCACATTCTCCAGATCCTAAAGAGGAAAGGCTATAGTGACCTAGGAAGAAGTAACCAACTCAGAAGGACCGAGGGAACCAACAAGAGCAGAGCTTGACACCACCCCAGCCTCACCTAAAGGCTTCACTACCTCTGAGCTTCCAGCTCAGAAACGGCATAGAGTTTCTGTGTCAACTCTGAGCAGCTATGTGTGTGCAGGATTGCAGAGAATTTGAGCTGTGTTCAGGCCCAAGGAGAAGGAGACTGTGGCCATCCGCAGCACTAACCCTGTGCTATGCACTTGACATCACTGATCTAGCCTATTGATAAAAAGGCTCCAATAAGTAATGGGGGACATGAAGAAAAGGCCTCTCACAAGTTGGAGAAGGCTGGCCTGGGGATCACCTAGACAGAAAGCCTCTACTCAGGGACCCTCACTAATACCCTGATGTTGACATTGGGAGAGTCTCCAGCAGAGTCCACTGGGCTCTGTCTTTGGTCCTATCCCAGTTAACCAGCCAAAACTTTTATCCATGACTCAGAACAAGACTCATCAGCATGTAGAGTTAGGAGAGGCATTCCTCTGATTAATTCTTTAAAAACTAAAGATTAATATTCTGTGTGGTGCTAGGGAAGAACTCCAAATGTGTCAGAAACTCAGTGCCCTGATATCACCTTGGAGGGAAGTTGTGGGAACTAGGATGCCAGGAACAGAAAGCCCAGCTGCGTCACAGAAGATGATCACCTCCTGATACCTCAGGCCCTACTGCATAGTAGGTTCTGGGAGTGGGTGGGAGGTGACAGGGACTCTTCCGAAGGTCACTGGATGGCCATTCCCTTGGGAAGCCATGGCAGGACCTGTGAGGGAAGCTGTGGAGCTGCTGGGCCAGCCATAGTTCTGCTGCCCAGCCTGGTACACTGGATCACTGGAAGCTCACAGCATCCAGACAGCAACTGTGCCCCAGACAACAACTGTGCTGCAGACAGTGTGAGGAACAACAAGTTTTTGAGAGGAATGGGAGGATCGGTAGGACAGAATCCCTGGGGGAAAACAGTCACCAAATGAAAGCTGCCGCCACTCAGCTCTGCCTGGGCTCGCCTGTGAATTACATTCCAGGAGATGCTTTGCTTGGTGGTGGGGCAAGCTCGTAGGTGATCTTCCATCTGGGAGGCAGGACAGAGCAGGGAACACTCTCAGCAATGGAAAGGGCTCCTTCAAGCTTGAGTCTATGATTTTCCACCAGCCCTCCTTCCCCCTCTTACTGTCCCTGTACCAGGTGGGAGGAACCAAATCTTCCATTATTGTCATTTCTTTGTCCCCAGAAGAACGTATTATATAGGCAAAGCCATTTCAAAGTGACAGCAACCATTTCTTTTCTTTCTTTCCATACCTGCCAGAGCGCTGACCAGGAAGTAGGCCGTTGCAAAGAGCCACTGGTTGCTGACTGCATCCTTAGGACCCTCCACACTGCACCCCACCAGCCTCAGGAAGGCTGTGAGTTCCTGCTTTTGAGGGAGCTTCAGCTTCCCCAGCACTTCCAGGGGTGATGAGAGACCTCTGACCACGTCCTCACACTGTGGGCAGGGGAGAAAAAAGGCAGTTGGCGTGGAGCTAAAGACCTAGTGGGGCCACCCCAGGCCTCTGTCCCAGGGCACACATGCCAACCCGGCCTTTCACCTTCTCCCAAGAGAAGGAGGATGTCAAACTCTTTTCCATTAGGAAATTACTAATCTACAGGGTTAAATTTCCTCCCAAGGAGAGATTTGGCCAAGTACTATGCTTTCACAGGGCAGAGGGGGTAGGGGAAACTGGTGGGTAGAACCTTCCAGACCAGGATATGGTCAGGTTGTGCCATGGACCAGAAACAGGTGGTTACATGCAGAACTGAAGAGGGACTTTAAAAGCACCATTGCGTGGTGGTTCTGAAGCCTTAAGCTGGGCTCCAGCCCCCAGCTAGTTCTGGGCAGTTCTATCCATCATCCAGGGCCTGCTATGAGGTGGGTGGCCCTGCTAGGCAAGCCAGTTCTGCTCCATCCGTGGTCTCTGAATCCAGGTCCACTCACGGGAAAGCCTGCCCCCACCCACAGCTTGCTTCTCCAGCATCCAACCCGGCAGCTGAGGCTTTCTCCACAGGGTGCTGGCCTGACATTTTCCTCTTAAAAGAAGTTATTTTAGGAAGTAAAAGTCAACAAGCTTTTTGAAACATTTGTATTCTCCCTGGGGCTAAGCTCTGCATCCTCCAGACTGCAAAGGGGTCCTGGGCTGTTGGGACAATTCAACGATTTCAGTTTCCATCTCTGCTAACTGTACTCTTTTGCCACGTATAATTTTTAGAGGGAAACATAATGAATGCTTCCCTAGAGACCATAGAACATGAAGTCAGAGTTATTCAAATTCCCTTTATAACAGAAAGACAGGAAAATAAAACACAAAACTATAATAAAATTCGGGTCTATAAAGCTTCAGCCTTCTGAAGTGAAGGAGAACATGGGAGCTGGGATGATAGATGGTCCACAGCTGGTGTGTCCCTCACCATTGGCATGACTCAGAGTTAAAGAATTTAGTCTAAGAAATCTTTCTCCTGTTACCAGAAAAATGCAAAGGCCTGTTTCTGTCCCTGGTCTAAATGGGACAGTTGACTTGTTGGACTCTGACATGCAACCCCAGCAGAGTGGGCTGAATAGCGGCCCCCCGAAATATATGTCCACTTGGGAGCTCAGAATGTGACCTTTGTCTTTGTAGAATAAAAATCTCGAGGTGAGATCATCCTGGATTGGGGTGGGCCCTAATTCACTGACAGTGTCCTTTTTTTTTTTTTTTTTTTGAGACAGAGCCTCAAGCTGTCACCCCGGGTAGAGTGCTGTGGCATCACAGCTCACAGCAACCTCCAACTCCTGGGCTCAAGCAATTCTCCTGCCTCTGCCTCTCAAGTCACTGGGACTACAGGTGCCTGCCACAATGCCCGGCTATTTTTTGGTTGCAGCTGTCATTATTGTTTGGCGGGCTGGGCTGGATTCAAACCTGCCAGCTCAGGTGTATATGGCTGGCACCTTAGCCACTTGAGCCACAGGCACCAAGCCAAGTGACAGTGTCCTTTTTAAGAGGCAGTAAAAGGACAATAACATGAAGACAGCAAACTGGAGTGAGGCTGCCACAAGCCACGGGCCACCAGGAGGCAGCCAGGCAGGACTTGCCCCCAGAGCAAGGAGGGAGGCAGCCTGGCCCTGCCAGCACCCTGATTTCAGACTGCTGCTTCCAGGATGGTGAGAGAATACATTTCTGCTGTTTCAAGCCCCAGGTTTGTGGTAATTTGTTGACGCAGGCCTAGGAAACGAATATATCCCTCGATTCCTCATGCCGGTGTCCTGCCTGCAGTTTGAAAACTAAGGACCTGAGAGAAAGAAAGAGACGAGAGGAGCTTCAGGCATAAAAGGAGGACGGGAAACCGGGAACACAATTCTCTTCTGACTCAAAGCCTGAGAGGTCCAACCTGTGGACATTTCCAGAAAACTCAGGTGAAAATACTACTGCCTTCAGTTTCTGGCCTTACCACTTGTTCCAGGACCACGAGTAATTCATCATCAAACAGGACTTCCTGGAGGGCGTTGTTCAGCGCCATCTGCTGCAACTCTGGCAGTTCCACAAAGGGGCGAAAATTCGTCTTCAAGAGCTGGGTCGCTGTAAAACACAGCACACGCGTGTCATGACCGCTGTACGTGTCTCACGGCATGGGACAGCAGCCCCTGTTTTTTATAGCTCACTGTCGATTCTTTCATAGACATTTCCAGCTGCAGAGTCAGTCATGGAACTTGACATCAAGTTAAACACAACCCTGCATATTTTTCAATAACCTCCGGAAGGAAAGGAGGGAGGGAAGAGAGAGAAAGAGAGAAGGAAGGAAGCCGGGTTTTATATTCCAGGCTTCAGGCTTCTCTGATGACTCACTAAACATTAATTAAGGCTAATCAGTTATTTTCTGGAAAAGTCATTTAGATTCCTCTTTAGCATGATTTCTGTAGAAGTAAATTCTCAAGGCTGAATTACTAAACAGAAGTCAGTACTTTTACAGTGCTTCGGAGCCAAACAAATTCTAAAATGTGTTATTTTTCATGTCATTTCTTGTAATACAATGCAGATATTGTATCTTTCAATATGTAATGCAATGCACATTTTTCAAAAGGGCTGGTACCCTATTTTCATGGCAAACATAGGCGCTCCCCTTTTCTATCCATTCCCTCTTCACAAGTCCTCACGCTGAGCACCGAGGTCCATCGGTCTGCGTCACTCACATCCTCTGCAGGAGGCTCAGTAGCCCTCCCCTTGTAATCCTTTTTTCTTTCTTTCTTAAGATAGATTACAGATGTGATGAAGCAATGCTTTCCTCTTTTCATCTGCAAGGATGCACACCAATGTATACATGCACTACCTGTGTTGATGGAAAATTCCAGCAAACACTTGTAGAAAGCCCCGTAGAGAGGAACACGTAGCATCTGTAAGCAACATACTCAAAATTCCCCTATAAACACACCTGGGTCTTTGCGAGCCCGAGCTTGAAGAGAAGAGCTAGGCGGGTTGGTATAGGGCACAAAAGGTAGGCCCCTACCCTACCACTGCCTGGCACACGTGGCTCCCTGCCGGCAAGGACAACACGACGAAGGACATGGCTGTGGGAAAGGGCACAACCAGAGAGCTGGAGCCGTCACCACCTTTCCACTTCCCTGTGGGTAGCTGCCAGGGGGCCACTGTGCTGTGGTTCTAACCCACAATGACATCCTTTAAGTGGCAGCTGAAAATCAGACCCAATTATCTATCTCAAGGAGCCAGGATGGGAAAGCCTTAACTTAAGACTGGGCCTTGCTGTCATTGCCTTCCAACACTGACATTTTGCTACAGAAGCAAAGGCATCCTCTGGTTAGAGACTCATCAAAGCTGGGGAGTCTTCCTTTTTCACCCTCCAAGCCAGCGCATACTCTGGGCTGTTCCCTATTCTTACTAAGCTTTTACCCCAATTATTTGTTCCTCCTCTTCCTTATCTCCTCCTTCTCCTATACTCTGTACCCCCAGACCCCAACAAAAAGAAGTCATCTTTTTAAAACACAACACGCTGTGGGGAGCAAAAGGAATTGCTGCGGGCACATCACAGTCCCTGCCCCTCTTTCTCCTTGGCCCCCTCAGCCCATGCCTGCGGATAAAGAGACTCCAAGAGAGCATTTTGCAAGGCTGACAAAACGTTACTTGTCTTGGCAATGAAGTCTGGAACATAATGAAACAGATGCAAAACTTGGGTCCTCCATCCTTGCTGCTGACTAGCTATTCTTAGTAGTTGGCAGGGCCTCTGTGGTTTCAAGGAAAGAAAAATGCCAGGACCCTGGTAGCTTCCCTCCTCAGTCTCTAGCTCTGCCCCACATAGGGTCCTCCTGCCCACCCTTCCTCAAAACATGACACCGAAGGCTCAGGGCTTCCTGAGATCCAATCACAGTCAATCTGGCTGAGGGGACTGGGACTTGGCAGCTCCATCCTCTCTCTTCTCAAATATTTGTGAGTCATTGAGGAGTCACTGATCCTGAAAGCCACATCACTTCTTGGGATACAGGGCTCAACTGGCCCTCCAATGCCCACACCCTTGCCCTGCAGGCCATACCTTCTTTTAAAACACTTAATGGCATGTCCCGGGAAGACATCCCATGCCCGGCATCTGGCATGTCCACAAATGCAAACTCTTGAAAAACGTAGGGATCCAGGTAGACAGAGTCAATTCTCCTTTCATGCTCGAAGCCACCATTCTTCCCTCGGAGGAGGCAAAATTCTGCAGTGCAGGGAAAAAGGACAAGCCATGCACAGGGTCAGCCTGGCCTTGTAGGCACATCTTACCTAACTTGGGTAGATACAGATGACAATTCCACCCTCTTCCCTACAAAACCTAATTCCTACATACATTATGCTGCTTGGCCAAAAACCACCCACTTTCTACAAACGCAGAAGTGGTTGTTCTTAACATAAAGGTCTCCAGTATACTCTCTGAACGGGCAGGATGCAATCTTTAAGACACTGGAAATATGTTCTTAGCCTAATTTGCACAAACCAAATCTAAACAAATAAATGAAACCTGCCATCTATAAAACAACTGAGGAAACGTGCACATGAATAAATATTAAAAAATTATTGTCACTATCCATAGGTGTACAAGTAGTTACATGGTTTTGTTTTTAAGGAGTATTAACTTTATTAATAGAAAAATATATGGCTCTCTAGGAGGCTGAGGCAGGTAGATTGCTTGAGCTCAGGAGTTCAAGACCAGCCTGAGAAAAAACAAGACCTTATCTGTACTAAAAAATAGAAAGAAAAAAAAAAAACTAGCCGGGCATCAGGGCAACTGCCTGTAGTCCCAGCTACTTGGGAGGCTGAGGCAAAAGAATTGCTACCACTTGAGCCCAGGAGTTTGAGGTTGCTGTGAGCTATGATGCCACAGCTCTCTACCCAAGGTGTAAGACTCCTGAGTTAAGACTCTGTCTATAAAAAAAAAGAACTACTGAGTTCTGCAATTGTATGAATGAACGTCACAAACGATGTTAAATGAAAAAAGCCAAACACAAAAGAATACATTCCATATAAAGCTATTGATATGAGGGCAAAACTAGTTTTTAAAGAGCCTTATCATTTAAAGGTATTGAAATATCTATAGGTGAAACAACATAATGCCTAATATTTGCTTTAAAATTATCCAGGAGGAGGAGGAGCAGGAGAAGCAATAGATAGATGAGACAGGAATTGCCCCAGCTGGATGTTCACTTCACGGGGGCTTCACTGTATTCTTCTGTATTCTTCTCTCTACTTTTGAACATGCATGAAAATTTCCAAAATGAAAAGTTTTCAAACAAAAAAAACACATGTTTCCTCAAACACTTCCATATTTGAGAACCCAGCTAAGGAACCTGAGTGGGTAAATATGTGACAATTACTATGTCCTTGCTAAGCAGAGACAGTACATGCATGCCAGAATTAGAGTTCTCTATGCTTCTACTTAATAATTGGCATAAGTAAGCAAAAGCTACAGAATAAAAAGTGGGCCTGTATTTACATGAAATGTGGGAGACATGGATATTAGTACATATTTTCATTTGCCTGTGGGCACTAATGATGCTCATAAAGGTGGAATGCTTGTCTAAAGGCAAGTGAAACAATCCTGGTTCACTCAACTGACCCACGCTCACAGAGTAGCCAGGGTGCCCCAGATCCTCCACCCTTTGCACTTACCCACTACAGCAGCTAAATGCAAACCAGCACCTGGGTAATGACTTTGCTCCCTGAGGACAGGGGCCAAGACCACTCACACAGCCTCACATCCTGCCATAAGCCCTATCAGGCCACGCAAATAATGTGGAGCCGACCGGCATTATGGGAGTCCACATCCCGAACACTGTTACCTTTACCCACGCACACCCCCTCCGAACAGGTGCTGCCAGTTCCCCCTTCCTTTGTTATTCATCCATCCCTTTCATCCAGCAAATGTTCGGGGACCCTGCTCTATGCCAGGCCCTGCACTGGCAGCCATACACACAGAAGGATGCAACCAGGCCTGGATGGTAAGGGTGGTAAGTGAGAGTGGGGGAGGGAAGAAAGCTCTCCTACCCATCCCAGGTTCATGGCCAATACCCTCCTAACAAAGGCAGGGTACCAAGAGAAAAGCACACACATTTACTTGATATTAGTTTTATGGGACATGGCAGCCTTCATAAGGAAATTAAGACCTTAAGAAACAGTTAAAGCTGAGAATTATGCTAGATTTGATGGAGAGCGATGGAAAAATATGATGGGCCAGAGAATATGATAGGGTAGTGGTCGCCCCTGCCTGTTTGTGCAGGTTCCTCTGTGTCTTTGAGGTAAGGCTGCTCCCTTCCTCCCCAGACAAGGAGGGTACCTTCCACATGAGGCTGTGTGACCTCCTCAGGGGACAGGGTGAGGGGAAGGTCACAGTGGCTTTCTACTTCAGCAGTTTGCCCAAATTCCTTCACTAAAAATATTGCAGGGTCACCCAGGAATGGATTAACAAGCTGTGGCATATGTACACCATGGAATATTATTCAGCCATTAAAAAAGATGGAGACTTTACATCTTTTGTATTAACCTGGTTGGAAGTGGAACACATTATTCTTAGTAAAGCATCACAAGAATGGAGAAGCAAGAATTCCACATACTCAATTCTGATGTGAGGACAATTAGTGACCTAGTACAGGGTGGGAGGTGAGGGAAGGGAAGAGCAGAGAGAGGGAAGAAGGGAGAGGGGTGGGGGGATCACGGTAGGGTGTGTGACACACCTTTTGAGGGTGGGACACAATTATAAGAGGGACTTTACCTAACAAATGCAATCATTGTAAACTGCTTCTCTGTACCCTTAGTGAATCCCAACAATAAAAAAAAAAAAGAAAGGAAAAAAAATGTGAGATAAGAAAAAAAAAAATATTGTGGGTCATGTGTCCTGAATCCCATCACAGAGAAAAGAACCAGAAGAGAACTCTTGAGGAAAGCAGCATCTTAGTAGCCTCCTACTGGTTCGGTAGGGCCAGGCAAAGAGGCAGAGCCTCTTGGGAAGGGTGGGAAACTCCGGCTCTCACCCACAGGTAGCCAGCTGAAGGCTTATTAGGAATGAACAGTGGAAATGGCTAGGTGGACAACAAAAGTGCAAGGCTAAAGTTCACGCTCTCAGAAGGATGGTTCTGCTTGGCCATGAGCATCTCCAGAGAAGGGCGCTATTAGCAAAGGAAGGGGTCACACCGTAGCTGGTGTGTCAGTGACACAGGGGGCGTTGGCCTCCTCTCAATGTCTCAGCAGACAACCTGGCTCCCTGTCAAATGCCATCCCACCCGGGAGGTGGGAGGAGAGAGCAGGCAGCTGCTCAAGGCCCCTCCAGCCCCTGCAGGTTTACGTTCATGAGCCCCTATCAGAACATTCTGTGGCAAGAGGGACAGAAAACAGATGAGCAAAAAAAAAAAAAAAAAAAAAGGAAGAAACAGCAGAACTAGTTTAAAATCAGGCAGTCGGTCACCCCAAACAGAGGAGCAACTAGCAAGCCACACAGCTGCCTCCCGGGCTAGGGAGCGCTACCAGCAAAAGGAGGTTCAAGATGTCCCGAGAGCACCTCTTCTCAGCAGTACAAAGAGGACTTTATTTTCAAAGAGGAAAGAAGCAGCAAAGACAAAAGGCTTGAAATTGAAATGCAAACGTCACAGGATGCCAGGTGAGGCTGTGTGTCTAAAAAAGAAGGCCCCAAGGGAGCAACAGGCCACCCCAACAGGGCTGGGTGGGGGCCAGGGTCCAGTCACCTCCTGGGACAAACTGCATGAAGTGACAGCCCAGGACTAGCTAGGACCCCCACCACTGAAGGGTCCTCAGAGTGTTCATTGGCATTCTGGGGCGTAGGCCAAGATTTCAGAACGCCTTTTAAAGTAACACTACTCACACTAGCTAAGATACAGAAATAAGGTAAGTGCCCATTGACAGATGACTAACTAGATAAAGAAAATGTGACATATATGCACAATGGAATACCGCTTGGCCATTGAAGAGAGAAGTCCTGCCATTGGTGACAGCACAGTCAGGACACGGGGCAAAGTGGAATAAGCCAGACGCAAAAGAGCAAGTCCTATAGGATGTCACCTACATGCAGAATCTAAACGAGTCACATTCAGAGTAACAGAGAATACTACTTGTTACCATTAAGGTGGGAGGGAGGTGTGTAGACAACAAGAAGATGGTTGGTCAAAGGGTAAAAACATTGTTATAATAGGCCCGGCGACGTGGCTCATGCCTGTAATCCCAGCACTCTGGCAGGCCCAGGCAGATGGATTGCCTGAGTTCACAGGTTGGAGACGAGTCTGAGCGAGAGTGAGACGTTGTCTCTAAAAGTACCTGGGCGTTTATAGTCCCAGCTGCTTGAAAGGATGAGGCAAGAGAATCAATCGCTTGAATCCACGATTTGGAGGTTGCAGTGAGCTATATGGCCACAGCACTCTACTGAGGGCAACAAAGTGAAACTCTGTCTCAAAAAAAAAAAAAAAGTGTTGCTACAAGATGCAGGGGTCCTAGCCCTGGGCTATCACTCCATGCAATTTGTCCCAGTTCTAGGGATCTGATGTATAATACTGTACATATACTTGAGTTGTTTTTTTTTTTTTTGAGACCGTATCTCACTCTGTTGCCCAGGCTATAGTGCAGTGGTGTCATCACAGCTCACTGCAACCTCACATTCCTGGGCTGATGTGATCCTCAACATTCCAAGAAGCTGGGACTACAGGTGTATGCCACCAGGTCCAGCTAATTTAAAGAAAATGTATAGAGATGGGGTCTTGCTGTGTTGCTCAAAGGTGTCCCAAACTACTGGCCCCAAGCAATCCTCTTGCCTTATCCTCCTACACTGCTGGCACTACAGGTGTGAACTACCACACTGAGCCTGTATACTTGGGATTTGCTAAGAACGTAGAGCTTAAGTATCCTCACACCACGTGCAAGCACACACAAATGTTAACTACGTAAGGTGAAGGAAATGTTAATTAGCTTGATTGTGGCAATCACTTCACAATGTATCTAAAATCTTCAGGTTGTAACCGTGAATATAGATAATTTGCATATGTCGACCATACCTCAATAAGGCTGACTGAAAAAGTGACACATTGACCACTGATGACCAATTAAGGCTGGACAGGACAAGTGAGGCATAAATATCAGGAACCACATAAGTGCAGATATCCTGGTAACAGAAACTAGAGGGTCATCTTCATATCTTTCAAAGAGAAAGAATAAAATAATAATAACCAAAGGGTCTGGTCCAGGATGCCACAAATGGAAAACTAAAGGACGTAGGTCTCCATTCCTGGTGTTCTTGGTATTTCTGGCTCACTGACCTACCATCTCCAGACCAATCTCTTAAAACTGACGCCTTCTTTTTATGTCACATCAAATAAGTCAGTTCACCTCCTGGAAACACTAAGCGGCTTCATCCACCAAATGAGAGTGAGAGGCGGGGTGCCCTGCTGCTCCTCCTAACCACCCTCTAACACTCTAGCTCTTCAGGAGTGTCACACGAGCATCTTGTTTAAGTCGTGTGGGCTTGGTGAGCGTGAAAGCTGTCTGGGGAAGATCTCCTCCTCTTTACCAAGTGCGGGGAGCTGTCTGGGGAAGACCTCCTCCTCTTGACCAAGTG